TGTCAAGCGAAAAAATTTGCAACTCATCGCAGTGCATTAAAATGCTTGATTAATGTTTATAGTTTGAAATAGTAGAATGAGAAAAATTCATTAATTTTTTCACGCTATTCATGAAATATTCTGTTGCTACCGTTATCTGTGTCAATGTGTTCTTCAATCTTCTTCGAGTGTTCTTTGCATACGGGGGTCCTTAAGTATTTGTCATTATGATTTTGCTTTTTAATCATGTTATCGACTCTGTGAAGACGATTCTCCGACCATACTATCAAAGAAAATGGATCGTGATTTAAATAACCAAAACTGGAAGCAAAAAAAAAAATGAGATTGCTACTTTCAACAATTTAAGACACAATAACAATGCATAATCGTAAAAATAAACGCAAACAGCATGAAAAGCAAATAACGAAATTTTCTATCTGAGGACGCCACATGGAATGGCTGAGAACTGAGCGACTACAATTTCGTTGATTTCGCAATAAGAATAATTCGTAGATTAATGAAGGTGTTTCAAATAATTCAAGAAAGGCTAGAAACCTTATCGGGCAAAAAATGGTGATCGAAATCCAAAATTAACGTCGTATGTCCAAGGTCAGAGCCCTGGAAAAACCCGGCTTTAATATTGTTGTAGAGTAGTTTTCACAGTGGAGGCTTGTATTTCACTAAGTCGTCCTATATTAGGTTCGACGTATAAAACGTTAGAAACTTGCAATAATAATTAATGACGCAGCAATCTAGTTGTGGTGGTTGATACTTCAATGTCCGACATCGACTGACTCACTCAACTCCACTGAGCCCAACTGGCGACCGCTACTACTACTAGTACTACTACTACCACTTATTATGTGTGGGAGAGTCTATTACAATAGAATAGGTAATGTTCTGGTATAACAAATATGAAATGATATAGAACCGTTCCCGATCATCACGACATACATTACATGTTTTTTTAGGAACGATTGCATTAGGGCAATTATTCAGCCAAAGGCCTCGTAGCCCTTGAGCTTGTAGATAAGGCCAGCTTGCCAAACCCTATCGAACGCCTATGTCATCTGTTCTGGTGAGCTTTTTTTCGTGATAACTCTACTACATGAATTTAAGCATGCTACTAGATTGGCAACTAGGTTTCCTGTTGAACTAGC